CAATATATGGGCCACTCGTCGCTCAATACACGCCAACACGAGTTGTCTTCAATTGATTGGCATTTAAATGATTGTGAAATACAGTGTTTATTATGCAGTAGTGTATGGACTGTACGGCCAATGCAATTAACGTATACCGCCGTTGCCATAGAAACGCGTCGCTTCACGAACACCGAGACAAGTGTTGGCACAGTTGGCGACACACAGTCCGCACGGCATTCAGCTCTTGGCTCTCACTTTCTTTCTGTCTTTCTTTCCATCGCTTACTTCTCATGTGTTTTATTATTTCCCATTTATTACTATATAATTAAGTCTACAATTAAATCTCAATTTAAGTGCTAATCAAAAAGGGGTCCAAAAGTAATGAAATAAACGTAACGTTGTTTAGTATTTGTTTGGTTTGCGTAACAAAATTTCCAATATTTGCGCACAAATAATGTTTGTATTCAATAAAATCCATAGATTTTACATTAAAGACATAAATTTCGTCGACTTTTGTAGAGTCAACAACAAATCTGTGCCAAATAAAAGTGGGTTTCGTAAATGATATCTAGTTAGTTTAGCACGGTAGATTTGCCATATTCTCACCATGGTGCTTCACGTCATATTCAATGAGTACAATTGTTATAGATTGGTATTTAAAATGCATAATAGCGCGGACAGGTGTACAACAAAATGATTGAAAATGACAACATATGGTCACTCTATGCCGCCATATGACTGGTGCAGTGTGTGATTGGTTGGTGAGTGTTATGGGCGGAGAATGGGGTGAGAGTTGTATTGGGAATGAAAGTCATTGTATGAGTGTTGGAGTGTTTGGACCACATATGAGTGGCCCATATATTGTGCCATAGATTGTGTGCATTCACTGGCAGTCATCAAAGCGTTCATGAAATACGAGTCAATAGTATTGTGTTTTTGATCACAAAAAACACATCAAAACATTGATTTGACGCAAAAAGCAATCGTTATTTTGATATACATTTGGTTTACAATAATTATTATTGTTTTTAATTGTCATTAATTGTTACAAAAAGACCGCAAATAAAGCGATGAATGAATACATTGTGAATGTATTTCATTTGAAGACATCGTTAGAGTCTCTTATGAAAAGGTATTGTATTTTTGTATTTGTTTTTCAAAAATATGTTTTCATTTGATCTGTCATTAAATGTATGCAAAAATACAATGTATTCAATAATACATCACATATTGATTGCGAGTGAAAGACATGACAAATATTCACATTTTGATTATTATTCATAATTAATGAATAGTTTTGGTCAGCAATTAATGTATCGTTTGATTAGTTTTCGTGACGTTTGCACTCTTTTTGACACATTTATCGTTTTCATTGCATTTGTATTGTATTTACGCTTTCAATAGTCCACTCAATATGTGTTTAAATATTTATAAAGTATACAATCAATGAATCCATTTCTCCCTCTTATCTCTCTCTCTCTCTCTCTCTCTCCCCCTCTCTCTCTCTCTCCCTATCTATGAGTTGAGGCAATCCTTTAGGTCCGCAGCCTTTGGATTGAGGAGAAGTGTATCTAAATATGAGATAAAACTAAAAATAAAAAACACATTAATTTTAATCGTAATTAAAATAATATGAATAAAAGGAGAGAAGAAAACCTGAATTCAATGCAAAAGTAATGTTAATAAATGCAAAACACAGTATCGAAAGCTAATGCTATACTTGTGTCCCAATAATCCCAAAAAACTGGTCGACATAATCCTCGACTTGTTTCATGCATTTTAATGATTATACAGTGTTTTTGATGTTATTTTTTCTATCATTTGAAATCTGCAAAACAGCTTTCCTTTTAAGACAATTTTTTGATGCGATAAACAGTTTTCTTCCAACAAATGAAACACTTATTATAAGAAATGATTATTTTTAGTAATGTTATCGAAATTGTGTGTTAAATATATGAATGCATTTCGTGAGAGATTATCATTTTCTGAGTCTCTCTCCCAACAAACGTAAGGGAATTAACTTTTGATCTTATTTTTTGAAAATAAAACATCGATTTGTATCACAAACCCATAAAAAGTCCCTCATTTGTGGTCCACAATAGTAAACCATAAATATAATGCAACTATTTATATGATACCCAATGAATGATTGTTTGCTTGATTTCCGATCTAATTGTTTAATTGGCTTATTATGAGTGCTTTTCTCTATTTATTAATGATTGACTTATTTTTAGAAAATGTCACTAAATTTTCCCGAAATATATTCAATACAATAATAAATACCTGCAGTTTATAAGTAGATTATAATAATTTATTATACAGTACTCTGTTTTAAATTGTGATTTTTGTCGCTTTTTGAAGGAGAGAGAGAGAGAGAGAGAGATTATCTTCATATGAATGGTTCAAAAACCCGGAAAATGAGTTTATTGTTGTATTTCTCTCCTCAGACTTTACACTCGGAAATACCATATCATTAGTCTATTATGTATTTTAATTGAGCATAAAATTAATGAATACTTTTTGCTCTTTGATGTGTGTTTCCATTGTTTCCAATTAATGATAACATAATTCTCTTATTCTTCTTTCTCTCATTATATTCTCGCAGAAAGGGTTGAATTGAAAAGAAATGAATGAAACCTAATCTGAAGTGAAAACTATAACTTTAAATACACTCAACACAAGAACAACTACGGGATGACGACTACGGGTTGTTGTGATATCATTCGGCACAACATCGGCGACGACAGGGCCGACACGAGCGCTGCCACCGCCGGTCCCAACGCCAGCGTCTCCTCCCAAATGCCAAACTCTCCTACCATTGAATACCCGCCCCGTTGTATGACATTAGCGCTGGGTTCGGGTCCATCCAGTCTTAGCCATCGACACACTCGAGGCCACAAACGAACAAAGAGTGCCGGAAATAACAGTTTACGCGAGTCGTCGCTATACACGGCCACCGGTCTGTACGCTCACCACCACCGCAACCGATCAAATGACTTTCGTCTCTACTCATCGAATAATATTCCCGTCAAAACCTATTCAGACATTAATATCTATGATCTGATCGCTTCCAACCGTTTACGTAATACCGTTGACATCAATTCCGGTTCCGTTGCCATCGATCAACAAAATGGTTAATATCTTGATATTTCTGGCGCTTTGATTGTGTGTAACACTATTTTGAATCACTTTAAAGTTGAGGAAACACCTGTCAGTTGCGGTTTCATGTCTTTCCGTCCGCGATGTCTGCAACAATTGGCCACAATTCAGGTCTTTGTATTCTTCTGTAGTATTTTGGTTACTCTACAACAGGCCCTCTCTTCGGGTTATTTCAACAGGTATTCAATTTACACATTGAAATGATTGGTTGATTTGTGTATAGCATAACATTTGTCTCATTGCCTCACTTTAAACAGCGTTATAACAACTATAGAGAAGCGGTTTGACTTCCCGAGCGCAGTGACCGGTGCTATAGTCAGTACGTTTGAGTTGGGAAATCTGCTCACCATTATATTCGTCAGCTATTTTGGCACTTATAGACACATTCCTCAATGGATTGGCAAAGGAATTCTGATCACTGGAATCGGTTCCATAGTGTTTGCGATTCCGCACTTTATGGATATTCACAATCCGCTGGGTTTGTGTCTCCTATACTGTGTTGGATTCGAGTGATTAGTTTTTTGTTAAAATAAATGTATTTCACAACTAATAGATAACGTGAACGTTTCGGGTCCGCTATCCGACAACACATGCCGTATACCCACTCCGGCTTTCAGCTCTCCTGTGCTCCAGAAAGCCAGGTATGCGTGCGATTGGTTCCCACATAATATAGATTATTTGATTAGCATATAATGTGTATTTGTATTATAATACATAATTGTAATGATGATTGCATTAACGCATTACGCAATGTTTGTACCCCTGATGACAGCCATTTCATAAACCCGGTGCCGCCGAACAATGACCCCACGTGTGTCGAAGGGGGCACTTATAACGCGCCGCATATTCTTATATTTATATTAGCGATGATTCTGATTGGTTGCGGCGGAACTCCAATCTTCACGTTAGGCACTACTTATATTGACGATCACGTCAAGAAGGAGAGCTCATCCATGTATATCGGTATCACTTATTTTCTACACACCTCTTAAGCCATTGATATGTGTTTCATAAGACTAATGGATGTGATATGCGATGAAAGGTTGTATGTACTCAATGGTGGCGTTCGGTCTGGTCTGTGGCTTTCTATTGGGCGGCTATTTTATTCAGGTTCACGAGAACTCTTTTGGTTCGGGAACCGTTCCCATAGACATATCGCCGGGTCATCCCAAGTGGATTGGAGCATGGTGGGCTGGCTTCATCATGCTCGGCATTCTACTCATTCTCATATCCATACCATTCTTCGCGTTTCCCAAAAGTCTTAAACCAAAGTCCAAAAAAGAGTCCAAAAGTGAGAGAACTGTTCTCTCGTTGACAGCGACCGAAGCCGACGAACCAATGATTCACAAAACCAAATACATGTCCCCGGAATCGGCCAACAATTCCATGAGCCGTTCCCGTAGTCCAGCGCATCATAAGCCAGAGTACGGCCGTAATCTCAAAGAGATCCCGGCCTGTATGTGGCGTTTACTTACGAATCCCGTCTATATGTGCACATGTCTCGGCTCGTGTATGGAACTGGCGATCGTCAGCGGATTCCTCGTATTTTTGCCCAAATATTTGGAAACTCAGTTCAGTTTAGGCAAATCCGAAGCCAATCTGTTCGCCGGCGGTATCGCAGTTCCCGGCGCTTGTGTTGGCATCTTCTTAGGCGGCTATCTATTGAAACGGTTCCAAATGAAGCCAAAGGGCGCCATTCAGTTCGTACTATTCTTCAACTTAGTCTGTATGGGTCTCTATACTGCCCTCTACTTCCTGGGCTGCGATAACGTACGAATGGCCGGCACTACTCTTCCCTACTCTAACAAGTAATTGATGTTTGACTTTAAGTTTAATCAAACGGATTAACTATAATATGGTTTAACGCATTACACAGTACTCGGTTTGACGCGTTTCAAGTGAACCTAACAGCGGAGTGCAATATGGGCTGCCGGTGCTCTCCCAACGAGTTGGAGCCCGTCTGTGATACACAGAATAAGATTAGTTATTATTCGCCGTGTTTTGCGGGCTGTAAGTCAGTCGAAGGGCCCAGAAATGTATGTTTATAAATACACTTCTTGTCATTGGATTTATACTGAATTGATTTGTACTGAAAATGTTATTATAGACTCAGAACTACAGTAACTGCGCCTGTATTTCGTTGAACAATACTTACAACAATCAAGAAGTGACGGCAATCCCATTGGCCACCGCTGGCCCCTGTCCTCAACTGTGCCACGCGATGATACCGTTTATGATTCTGCTATTTGTTATTACTTTAGTCGTTTCGATAACACAAATGCCATTACTTATGATTACATTGAGGTAATTATTAATTATTTAATTGTATGTATTTTGTGAGAGAATACTAATTGAATTGATTGATAGATCTGTGGAGGAAGAGGAGAGGTCTTTAGCGCTGGGCATGCAGTTTGTGATCTTCCGTTTGTTTGGTTACATACCGTCGCCAATCATTTTCGGTAATGTAATTGACTCGACATGTATCGTATGGAAAGCCCATTGCGGACAACAGGGAGGCTTCTGTCTGCTCTACAATATTGAACAGTTCCGACTCAGGTCTGCCATCACTTGTCATATCCACTGTTAAACACTAACCTTTATTTAATTGCTAATCACTGCAGATATGTTGGCGTATGTAGTGGTCTGAAAGTAGCGGCCGGTCTCTTGTTTTTCTTGGATTGGCTGCTCATCTGTTGGCGCCATAAGAAAGATTTGGATAAACCTCAGGCCCTAACCGTTGGAGAGATTGTCTCATCCATTATATCATTAGACAGACTATCGGTTTTCGGTTGGAATACCGATATAAGAGAGGTTGAAGAGGAACAACCGTTAGGTCCAGATTCTGGTCTGTATTTGAGATACCATTTGATATTTGATTATTAAATGAATGCCATTTATTTACTCAAACGAATGGACAGATTATAACAGCGCTAACGATATGGACGAACAGGAACTGAATGAAAGGGACGAAGAATTTACATATTGTTTGACAGATAAAGAGACGACTCCTTTTGGTCTCTCACGAGTTTAGATAACAAAACAAAGATTTTAATTGTTATTTTGGGGACATTTATAGAAAGAATTTAATTTTCAAATGAAATGCTTTAATTGATATCACATTTTGAAAGCAGCACTAAAACACATACACAAAACAAACAGCGATTTATTTGCAAAAGAGATCTATTGTATTATACAACTAATGATAGGAATTATTATTTGATTTTTTATACTGTGATAACATTCAAAACTATGGATGAAAAGCGACGTTCAAATTGTTATGTAATTTACAATTTGTTTTTCCCGACAAATCAATTGTGCGAAAAGGCAGTCAAGAGTTCAAACACTGGAACAAGTCTTCGGTATATTTACTGTATATAAATGGATATGAATTGATGTTTTAATTTTGACCACAAATCGCATGACTTTATATTATATTTATTGAGTCGTGTATTGATTTATACAAACTTTAAAGACTTAGATATAAATGTAGTTTAAATTTTATTTAAATATTTTAGTCTTATTTTTAGTGAATTATAATTAATATAAAACTGTGTTTTTAAGTTCACAAAAGTGTTGAATTGTAAATTGTTTTTAATTAGTTTTAATTCTAGAGTTAAATATTGTCTAGAATTTAAGGATAGAATTAAATGTTATATATATTTGGACTTAATTTTATAGTTATTATTGATTAATAATATTCTTAGTTATTGTTATTCAAGAGATTAACTCAAAACACAAATGAAAGATAATAACAGAATACAAAAGGATTATTAACTATGATTTACTCGATATAATGAAAATTGTATGAATTTTAATGAATACTTTATGTCTTGAGGAGTACTTCCACTCAAAACTCCGCCGAAAGAAAAATCTTATTATTTTTTATTTTGAATAATAAATCAAAAGTTTTAGAAAAAATTGTTTTGAAAAAAAGAAAATAATTTCATGAATAAAAATGATGAGAATTGAACTCAGATTTGAATTTGAAAATGATTTTTGAATGAGAACATGAAGTCTGGGAGAGAGAGAGAGAGAGAGAGAGAGAGAGAGATGAGTACTTATTCTGAACATATTCTGCCATTGAGTGTCAAAAAGCGTATATTTAGAGCTAAGAAGTGGTAGTGTTTTGAGAGTTTCAGTTGAGTTGAGTTCTCGCTTACAGTGGAGTCGAGTGTTGTATTTGAATGAGAGCTCAATCTATAGATATATCTATATATATAAACCGCTCAATGAATCTCTCTTTAAATACCGGAAACAGAAGTCGAGAACTCATTTTTCACAGCATTGGCACAGAATAGACAAAACCTGTGAAGAGATGTAATGGAGCGGCAGGTCTTATGGCAGGTCTTATACACAACACTCGCATTACGGCTGAAATATAGACAGCATAGAGACAGCTGAGAGGCCAGAGTACACATGCTCTCAATTTCACTTCACTATTATATAACGGGACAGACATTCCTGGAAAAGATATGTTAATAATACTGTCGTTCAGACGAATCCAATTATACATATATATAAAAATGTGAGCCAAAGGTAAGAATCAATGCAAGAACGCAAGCGTTCAGAAGGTATGAGAAGGAAAAAAGTGAATGAAAGAGAAAAAACGAGAGAAAGTGAGTGAAAAGAATATAAATCTTGTGAATATATGATAAAATGGTGAGATGTGTAGTGCAAAGGGGTTACTATTTAAATGTAATTGAATGCCAAAGAGCACTGGGCTGTGAGAGAGTGAGTGGGTCTTACACTTGTCATCGGGTGGTGGAGCTCTCTCTCTCTCTCTCTCTCTCTCTCTCTCTCTCTCTCGTATGGCCAAACAGACATTGATATAATGATCTGCAGCTAACATATAGCACCGGGCAATATATTTCACTTTTATGGTGGAAAAAGCACTCCAAGTATTACCAGTCGTATACAAAACACTAAACACATTCGGCTTTTACTTTCAGCGCCAGAGAAACATATTTCTCGGCCGAGATTTATGTCTCAAATTTTGCAAACTCTTACGTACAGTACATATATTTATGTCTACACGAGAGAGAGAGAGCGAGAGAGAGAGAGAGAGAGAGACTGGGAGCGTACGGAAAGAGAATATTCTGTGAGTTTGTGGAGTATATTTACACAGTTAGGCCGTTAGTTAGGCATATATATAAGGTATTGACACTAACAAAATGCTTTTACATAACACACTATAGCCAGAGTCGAGTATCAAAGATCAATAAATTCACTGAATATATAATACCATGAGTTTAAGTGATGGGAAATTTAAAATTCTTTAAAACACAATTAATTTTAACACAAACTATGAGAATATTTACAAATAAATAGACACCTCATATACATTAGGGCTAAAACTTTCTCCAAAATACTTGTACAGTAAGTAAAGTAAAGCTCTCTTCTCAGTCGAGTTAATACTCATCTAATAAATACACCAAAAAATACATATAAAACTTTGTATTCGTCGCGAATGAGATATTAAAATGAGAATTGTTAACAAAATAGAAAGTATACGATATTAGAGTAGATTTGGCCGTAAATGAGTGAATAAAATGAGACAAACTTTTTTTTCACTAACAAAAATATAGTCGACTATAAAGAAAATAATATAAAAAAATTTTTATAAATGGAAAGCGAGAATATATTTCTGTAAACTTTGCGAGAGCTCAGGCTTTCAATTTGTATAACAGCTATAATATCGAGGCATTTGAGAGAGAGAGAGAGAGAGAGAGAGAGAGAGAGAGACGATTGACTGAAAAATTTACTGTTCATTAGATTTTCATTTGAATATCTCGTTTAGCAAATAGTACTCTTACGTACAGTACATATATTTATGTCTACACGAGAGAGAGAGAGAGAGAGAGAGAGAGAGAGAGAGAGAGCAAAATGATAATCATTGCACGCATTTTTGTCAGAGAGGGTTATGTGATGTATGTATTACGAAATGTGTGGCAATAAACTACAGCCAATATATATACATATATATTAGGACATTATTCGGGATATAAACTCATATAATATATCCCTTTAACTGTAAAGTGAATATCATATCAAATACAATGGCATCGAATTTAAAGTCCACACAAAATGTAAAGTGATTTAAAAGAATCATAAAAACAAATGACGAGACGATAAAGAAGTGCTGCAATCGATGGCTGAGAAGCGGAATATTCTTCAAATATTAACACATAATAGCTGTACGGAAAAGGATTGTATAGTTATGTGAAAACGATTGCATTCACTATACATCATATCAAACATATATATATAATATATGGTGTGATATATAGTAAATGAGTGGAAGAGGTGCACAAAAATCGATATAATATTTGGTGCGGAGACAGACATCGTATACATACAGACGTAATATCATTATTTGAGGCTATAATCAGTTGTGATGGCAATACAGTCACCGTTAGTTCAATGAGGGTTAGACCCGACAGACACTCATCATTAATATATAGACAGATTGAGACAGCGATTCATACGTTAAGCACAGAACGAGAGGCATATATAATGTAATAAAATATACATTTTTTTGAATAAATTGCAGTCAAATATTAATTTAAATAAGGCATAAAACATGGCATAAATCAACCGATAGGTGGCCAGAGGTTTAATTTGGTGTTTAACGAGAAGTACATGTCTTTACAAATTGCGGTATAAAAAGCCAATGATAAACGGCTTATATATATACACAACATATACACAAAACCTCTTCAACAAGAATCCACACAATAGTATGATTAACCTCTCGTTCAATATATACATATAGAGAGTGAATATAAACTATTTGCTAAACGAGATATTCAAATGAAAATCTAATGAACAGTAAATTTTTCAGTCAATCGTCTCTCTCTCTCTCTCTCTCTCTCTCTCTCTCCCTCCCCCCAACCCTCCCCTCCTTCTAATGCATTTGATGGTCTACTCTCTCGCAGCAAACCATCATTTAGTTGACTATCAGCTGTTCTAATATTCCGATTGAATGCATTATTTTTAATAATAAATCACTTCAACTATTTCATAATATAATAGTTGAAGTGATTTATTATTAAAAATAATGCATTCAATCGGAATATTAGAACAGCTGATAGTCAACTAAATGATGGTTTGCTGCGAGAGAGTAGACCATCAAATGCATCATAAGGAGGGGAGGGTTGGAGAGAGAGAGAGAGAGAGAGAGAGAGAGAGAGAGAGGCGAAAGATAATTATCTAACGTTTGTTGAGCGCAGAAACCAATGATTTATTGTCTGAGAGAATAAGGGATCGAAATATACTCTTTTGTGTCCGACTATTGGAAAACGAGTGATAGTTATGGCACTCACTCTCACTGTCTGTATGTCTGTCTCTAACGAGCAGTTTCTGAATCCAAAGCCAAAAACTATTTGAAAACCACAGAAACTATTATTACAATTAAAAATGATCCGTAAATTACATGAACGACAGGCGGACAGACAGAGCGACTCCCGGCAAACGAGCAAAATAAATAAAAACAATACGATTAAAGCCAAGATCTTTTTTCATCAAATATCTGGTTCTCGTCGCCACCATTTAGAGAGAGAGAGAGAGAGAGAGAGAGAGAGAGAGAGAGCCAGTAATTAATCATTCTCTAGTGACAGGGAGGGAAAGAGAGAAATAAATTTCTAGTTTGAGTTTTTTGAGATCATAGCATAATCTTTGCATTTTGTGTTATATTTATCAATGAATGAATATAAAGCGTACTCTTTTCATGAGTCGGATCTACTTTGACTCAAAATTTTACTGCAATTTCCAATGAGCTTAAGCTTAAGTTTACCTAAAAAGTGAGTTTGAGTTTTGAGTTCGTTTGAAATTTAATTCTATCGATCCGTTTTGATTACACAAATGCTCTTAATATTCAGTCAAAAATAGCAATTCTCTAACGCCTTAAACACTATGTTTGGGATTATTTGCAAATATAAGTGTTGGGCTAATACTTATGTTTAAAGCTATTGCTAAATACAAGGGGTTATATAATCAGTGTATGAATCGGCAAAAGGGATGCATTGATACAAACATACAGTTAAGTCTGTTTTCCAAATGTTGCAAATGTAATGAAATTTCAAAAGTATGACTCCAAACATATATAATGTAATATAAGTGATCATCAATTATGAGGACTGACAAAGAAGTGGCACCGGATCCACAACAGAGCTGCGACAGTACACTTACTGTGTGCTCACAGTCTATATGTCTTCATAGTATTTGCAATACAATTGAATCAATTCATTGATAAGATTTGCACATTTTGTTAGAGTGAGTGGAAGAGCAAAAAATTCTTCATTGCTTTTTAATTATATTAACGAGTGTTTGAATGAGATAACAAAAAAAGTTTCACTGAAACTCAACTCAACTTCGCGACAGACACAATGATTAATGACTTTGCATATTAGGACCAGAATGAGCTCAATGAGCACACTATACCATACCATACCATACCATACCATCACTATTACAAACCATCACTACCATCACCCATAGGCACACCATTTCTCGCATTCTCTCTCTCTCTCTCTCATCCAGCTCTCTCTTTGGATGCTATGCCTGTGCTCTGTATACTGCTTATAAAAAGTATGCGTTAAAACCATCATCAATCATGCTGTCTGACTAAATTAACTACAGATCAACAAAACTTTTCTCGCAACCAATATTGTAATGTAGAGACAGTTCACTATTGAGAACTCGTATCCAACTCTACTCTCAACAACTTTTCTGAAGTCATTCTTAACTTTTTTTCAATTGTTTGTTTCCCTTATTCTATATTCTGTTCTCTATTTACAATTCTCTGCTTCTTATTTGTCAGTTCTATAGCTTTCTAATGCATTATATTCTCTCTATTCTCACCATTTTTCTTATATAACACATAAGTTTCAATATTTTAAATCCTTTAGATTTATTGGATTTAATAAACGAATATAACATTATTAATATCAATAAAGAATTGAGTTAATACTATATTTGGTTATTTCAATGATATTATTTAGAAATTCATAATGAGATGAAAACAAATTAGTTAGAAATGAAGTTAATTAAGATGTGAGGATATCGTAATGTTTTTTGGAGTCAAGCATTAAAATAGTTGCCATAGTTTGTGATACAAGCGATGCTTATCTGCAAATTGTCAAAAGCATTTGCACTTATTTTTAGTTAAAAGACAGTTACATATTATACTCATTTGTTAATTATAAACAAGTCGTGAACTTCTTTAATAAAGTTGTTCTTTCGTTTACAATCTGTCGGCAATTCTTTCATAAATTAAACGCCAATTCAAACGTAAATTAAATGAAAAAATTATTTCACTTCAGATTTTCCAACTCAAGTCCGCCTCCGGCTATAGCCTCACATCACGGGAATAATGGAAATAATGGGAACACAACGTCGGACACCACTGGCGGTGGCGTCGGAGCCGACTTCAACCCGACGGCCGCCTATTTATGGCTTCTGTCGCAACAACAACAGCAACAGATCCCAAACTCAGCCGCACTTAACCTCAGTTCCCGTAACGCAAGCGTCAACAGCACCGGCAATAGCGCCGTCACTAACACTAACTCTGTTAACAATAATATCGGAAACAGTAATTCGGGAAACAATAATAACACCATTAATACTAATAATAACACCAATAATATGAGCGCTTCTGTTAAAAATAATAACACAACTCGTAATGCAAACGATGACGAGTCCACCGATGATGACGACGACGAGGACGACGTCGAGAGCAATAACAGCAGTAACCACAGCAACAATCCGGTCAGCAGTTCCGGATTCAATGGTAATTTAATTGACAAACAAAAAGCGCTGTTTTCTCACCAATTAATTGATCTGTAAATGCAATGACAGGTATGACATGTGGAAGAGGGGGCGCGAGTGAGACGGCCAGCAATCGCAACAGCTCTACAACACCTCCACATCCACAGCAACAGCAGAGCCAACAACCGGAACATTGTTTGGAGACTTTGCTTAGAAATATTGAGGGACTTCTAGCCATCGCTGCACACAATGCTCGCCAACAACAGACACAACTCCACCTTCAAAAAGGTATTCAAACATTGCATTTGCATTCAAACAACACATTCGCACAACAATTAAATAATTAATCAAATATAAAGTGAACGCTTTTTTAATCGGATAATTACATTAAATTTTATGAAAGTAAAATAATAGCTTTTTTGTCGATTTTTTTTGTTAATCAAGTGTTTGGTCAATACAACCATTGCTGCAACTTCTAGCTCTAACCCATGGGTTGAGTCACAACTAAATGAATTAACTGTTAATTCACGGTATAAGTAGACGTAAAACAGTAGAAAGGAGTAGAAAAAAGTAAAGTAATCTAGTGTTTAGTGTAGTGAATATATAGTGAATTGTAAATTCTGTAAGTTCTGTATCCAATATTAGTTTCGTATACATTGAGTTCCACTTAATTTGGGTTTTAATTTTTTGAGTACATATACCGATATATACAAGTTATTTAGTTTTAGCACAACTCTTATCTCTATTTATTTGCATCAATGGTTCACTCCATACATAACACAAAGCATACCGTATTGTAGAGAAACTCCTATTGAAGAAGTGAAGCCCAAATTTACCCCTTTTGATGGCTAACTCTCCCCTCACTTTTGCATTGCTTTACAAACTCATTAAAACATTAAGCAATGCCTTAATGCCAACGCTATTAATGCAATGCCAGTGCAGTCTCTGTTGAAATGCGATAAAAACGCTTTTATTTTTATAAAAAGAACCCAAAAATTACAGCCTTTTGTAATTACAACCGTAAAATGTGCTCAAAATCTATTCCCTCCCTAAACATTATCACTACCTCTCTCTCTCTCTCTCTCTCTCTCTCTCTCTCTCTC